AGATGGCGGGCTGGCGGAAAGCCGAGCGTGCTCTCAGACGGTGTAGACCTGGAGCCGAGGGTGGAGAGGGTGGAGAGCATGGCATGTGGGAATGGTATGGTGATGGAGCCGGTGGGGGTGGAGTGGAGCAGGCAGGGGAAAGGCGGAGTCATGGGGGATGGATGGGAGGGGGGCACTGGAGGGCTGGCTGGCCCCCTGGAGGGTGGCCGTGGCTGGCGGGCGGCCACGGTGGCCAAGGCGTGGGACGCTTTGTGGGGTGGTCTTGGGAGGGCCGGGGGGCCCTGTTGGGGCAGGCTGCCAGGGAGGGAGGGGGCCGGAGGTGCTGGCCGGTGGGGGCCCGGGGGGGGAGGGGAGGGCGGGGCTGGGAGGGCATGGGCGCGGCGGGAGGTGAGGTCGGCCAGGCTGGCGGGGGCCAGTGTGTTGGTGGCGGTGTTACGGGTGACCATGGGGACGGGTGGGCTGACGATGAGGGCATCATGGAGGTGGCCATGGGCAAGGGAAGGATGGCCACAGGTGGAGGGGCGGCAGGTTCAGAGGCGTGGCGGCACAAGGGGTTCGCCTTAGGCGGTGCAAAGAAGCAATGGGCTAAGGAGGAGGAGGAGGAAAGTACATGCAAGAGGGATTGGGAGGAAGAGGAGGATAAGCTTTGGGGTTGACTTGGGCTTTTTAGGTTGGCTCTTTTTGCCGATAAAGGAAGTATGTGATGGCAAAAGCGACTCTTGCCGATCGCTAGGTTGCAAGCGATCAACAAAGTCTTCTTTCTTTTGACGGTACACAAGCAGATTTCAAGAAAGTTTTTTTTGGTTGTTTTCCTATCTAATATTTTTTCACGTTCTTCCAACATTAAATCGTCCACAAATTCAAAAGTTGGAGAATTTTTAGTTTTTTTATATATTTCGTGAATTTATTTCATTTTCATGAATTTTTTCGCGTAATTCAATTTTGAATTGTAGGTGCATGAAAAAACGAAACATGGGCATTCGAAAAATGATATTCATGTTGGACAATGTATTTTGAGGCTGTGTGCATAAACTCACCGAAAAGTTTGAAGTCCTTGCCCACAAAATAAGAACATCTCGACGCGGTACAAGTGCTTTTAAATTATATAAAATCAAACAACGTGAAAATCACCGAAACTTGTGGACGTGTCGTGTTATCGCATGTGGAGCTCGATAAAAATTTGAGAAAATTTGGAGCAAGTTTGAGCTGGTGAGTGTTCAAATCCCATAACGCAACTGGATGTGTCCTCTTATCACATGTGGAGATCTCTGGGTTTGAACACTCACCGGCGCAAACTTGCTCCAAACTTTCTCAAATTTTTATCGTAGCCTTCTAATGCGATAACACGACACATCCACAAGTTTTGTGATTGATCGACGCTTGATTTGATTTTATATAATTTAAAAACATTTCTACCGCGTCGGGATGTGCTTATTCTGTGAGCAAGGACTTCAAGTTTTTCGGTGAGTTTATGCACACAGCCTCAAAATATGCTCTCTAACATGAATATCATCTTTCGAATCACTAAGTTTCGTTATTTCATGCACCTGCAGTTCAAATTTGAATTATTGAAAATTCATGAAAATGAAATAAATTCAATAAAATATAAAACTTTCAAAATCCTCCAAATTTCAACATAGACTTGTAAACAATATAGTAAGGTCACACAAAAAGTCTTAATTCAAAATTCAAAAAAAAAATAAAAATTTTGCCGACAAAGATGTCCGGTCAGTTTAAAAAGGGGTCGCTTTTGCCGACAAACTGACGGACGGTTGGGTAAATTTGTCGGCAAAGCCGACTGCGTCTGTCACCATACTACCCCCAGGACGCGATTTGTCGATCGAGGTTCTTTGCCGACGGGTGGGTCTGTCAAAAAGCGACTTTCGCCACCGCATGATCTATCGGCAATCGGCAAAAAGCGGCTATGCCGAACGCCTTTTGGTGGTCGTTTCGGCAAGAGGGTCTTTGCCGACAGGGATATTCCATCCTGTCGGCAAATCCCAGGGCTGTCGGCAAAGCCCCGTTTTCCTGTAGTGATGTTTACTGTAGCACTACATTGTCAAATCATGGACTAATTAGGCTTAAAAAATTCGTCTCGCAAAACAGTCTTAATCTGTGCATTTAGTTTCATAAATAGTCTATATTTAATACTCTATGTATGTGTCAAACATCCAATGGGACAACGACTAAAATTTAGGAGGTGGAAACTAGCGTCTGCCTGCCGTTGCTTCGATGGTACAGCGGGGTTGCGTTTGTTGCGGTGGTTGTCATGCTGTCGCATGTACCATGAGTATTTTTTGTGTATGTTGTTGAACGTTGCTCTCTTGTCAATCAATATACGCCAGGCGATTTCTCGCCTGTGGCTTTCGAAAATAAACTTCGATAGTACGCCAGTTTTAAGTTCTGTGCTGTTATTAATTAAACCAACCATTGGTGGTGTACCACCTATGCTGTTCCATGTGTGTTAGAATTAATAATCATGTACTCCTAACGGCCAGCTTGCCCTGAAAGAGTGATCAAGAAAGGTCTTTTTTTTTTATCACAGAAAGGTCTTGTTGCTTGTTAGAAGCACTTCGTCCTACGTTTCTAGTAGGAACAAGCAGCTATGAAAGAAAAACTTTGATAAGAGAAGACGAGCTGGCGAAAGAAACCTAGCTATCAATATAGGCCACACTGTCCGGTCTTTTTTGCTACATGACACCTAAAAAGGGCCAGGCGTAGTACTGCTACTGCTACTGCTACTCCTGACTACTGTGGGCGAGCACTACAGCTTGCTTTGGTCCTGGCCATAAGCTGCTGCTGCTGCTGCCTGCTGCCTGCATTATATGCATTATAACCCCCGGCCCTAATCCTCGCTTGCTCCCTCCTTTCCAAAAGAAAGCAGCACCTACGCTACACTGCACTGCACTGTTCATGCGAGAGCAGATGTGATTCTTCTAGGATTGGGCACATGCAGTGCAGGGAGCAAAACTGATCAAATTAAGAGCATACTGTAGTGCTCTATATGAGCTAGCTGTGTTCGTTGCCGAAGTACTACATAAAGTAATGGCATAATAGCCATTTTGATGCTCAACTATTACTCAAGGCTCAATTTCATCCCTAAACTTTTAAAACAGTCATTTAGTCCTCAAACTTTAGTTTTAGAATCAATTTCATCCTACAACTATAAAGATGATCGTTTTAGTCATTAAACTTTGCATTTTGGGATCAATTTCATCCATAAACTATCAAAGTGCATTTAACTTTTATTTTCAACTCAATTTTGTCTATTCAAAAAGAGAACCTTATATTTTAGGCATAATTTCATCTATAAATTATCAAAATTATAGATCTGCTATTGTTTTAATATATCCATGTATTCTTAATGAATAAATAGTGTTCGATGCAACTGTAATTGCTCCCGTAATATCATTTAGTCGGATATATATAAATGGTACCATTATAAGGTAATACTAAAAATAACAGCTTGGAATTATTAATGACCACGAAAGAGTTTTTGGATGAATATTATTTTTCTATCTCCAATCGCTGATGGTGTTCGAGCTAACCAAGTGCAACAGTAGAGCGTTCCCGTACAACGTAGACAAAATACACTTTGATAGTTTATAAATGAAATCAAGCCCAAAATGCACTTTGATAGTTTATAATTGAAATCAAGCCCAAAATGCAAAGTTCGAGGACTAAAACGATCATTTTCATAGTTTTAGGATGAAATTGAACCTAAAAGTAGAGTTTAAGGACTAAAACGGCCGTTTTGAAAGTTCGGGGACGAAACTGAGCCTCGAGAAATAATTGAGGGACTAAAATAGCTATTCTGCCTACAGTAATCATCAAACTTCTGTACTAATTCTTTTCGGCTAACGAGAGATAAAGTTATTGGTTTTAGGTCTCAGGAAGTCAGGTTGAGAATAGTACTAGATTTTTTTTATATTACGGTACGGTGGACACTGCATGGTTTGGTGGTTCGTTGCGCCCTGAAAGATTTGGCATCCGTTCGAGGCAGGGCAGGCACCAGAGGGGGCAGAGAGACCTCAGCCACAAGTGGAGGAGATGGCTGGGCTTGAGGTTTGTGGAGCATGTCCCTGTCGGCCACTACGGATGGTTGACCCCTACATCAACATGGATCGGCTTGGCAGCATGCAACGTGATGGCCACTGGCCACCACAGGCCACGGCACACTTCCCCCCTCCTCCTTGAGTTCCCCAAATCACATGTACGATCGATCGAGATCAGGTACTACAACATGCATGCATGACATATATACATATATATATGGTGGATTAGTGGTACTCCTAGAAATACTAATCTTTTTCTTAATAACTGGATGATATAGTTCATGGCAAATGCACTACAGTTTGAGGGGTGGGAACGGAGAAGACCCGATAGAAGAAAACTACATACATGCGGTCAAACGTATGGTAAATTGCTTACCAAACACCCCAGATAAAAAGCACTGCCGGTTCAGCCAAGATTGTGTGTGGTTAAGAGTATCAATCGTACCCATATAAATAAATAGCATGAACCATGCAATATGAACTAATGAAAAAGGGTAGCTTGAAGCTGAAAGGAACAAGGGAATATATATGCCACCAGATTTCCAGTCAAACACTAGCTAGAAGCAACATAAGATATATATATATATATATATATATATATATATATATATATATATATATATATATATATATATATATATATATATATATATATATATATATATATATATATAGTATATATAGATCGATCGATAAGAAACAGGCTAACAGCCTCTCCTAACACACAAGCAAACATGCAATACAATATACAAAAAGCACCTATATACACACATCAGGCCAACTAACTCGGTTATTACTAGCACGTCATATATATAACTAGTAGCTAGTCGTACTTAATACTACTGGTTCCGTCGTGAACTTGCATTGATCTATTAGCTAGATAGGATCTTCACCAAGCAAGATCGTGTGGCCCATGTCCATGATGACCTAGCTATATCTAGTCAACTACTCACACAAGACGTCCTTGAGCAGCTTGTACCTGCGGCCGGCCGCCCTGGTCGTCGCTCGCCGCCCAGCCAGCTCGGCCTGGTCGCCGCCGCTGGCCTTGCCGGCGCCCCTGCCACCGGAGCTCGTGGTGGTTGACGACGACTCCTGGCTCCCGGTGGCGGCGTGCTGCTTCCCGGCCGGAGACGAGGACGACCACCTCGCCTGCTTCCCGGCCACGCCGCTGAGGCACCAGTCGCACATGTCGGAGCCGGCCGAGGCGGGTGCGCTGTCGCCGTAGTAGTTGGTGCAGTACCTGCATGCATGTCGCCATGGCACCACCGCACCAGTGGTGTGCATGTGTATAAGGACAAGAACAGTACTTGTACTCACTACACACATATATACGAAGAAGAAAGCGGCAGAAGAGATGCATGGAGCTCGTCATGATATACTACTAGTAGTACTCATATATGAAGAGGGATGGACGAGCTGGGCAAGAAGAGGCTCACGTACGAGTGCTGGAAGCGGTGGCGGCAGCGCGCGCAGCGGAAGAGCTTCTCGGGGAAGCCGACGTCGCCGCACATGGAGCAGACCGTGGCTGTGGCGTCGGCGTCGGCGGCGGCGGCGGCGGTGCCGGCCATGGTGGACAGAGCTAGTCGTGGCCTGGAGGAAGCGAGAGACGGTCGGTCTACTCAGAGCGAGAGAGGAGACAGGAGAGGAGGAGTGGTGAGGATGTGGCTGAATCTGAATGAGAAGGGTAGGAGTGGAAAGGCTGGAGGGCGAGGAGGGGGCCGCGGGGTGCAGTGGTGTTAAATACGAAAGAGGGATAGGGACGCGTACGTGCAGTGCAGTGCATTGCATGTAAAGAAACGGACAAAGGGATGAGGGGCAGCGCCGCAGTGGCGCGCAGCAGGGGTGGCACAAAGACACGGCAACCTTAACTCACGGCCGGCAAATGGAAAGGCTACGCGTCGATCGATCTCACTCTCTCACCGTCTCACGGTCACAGCGGCCCGGCCGGGATAAAAATCTTGGGGCCGTCATCGATCGGTTCCGCGCTCTGTCCCCTGCCAGTCCTGCAGGTCGGTGTGCTTGCAGCTGCAGAGCCAGAAACAGTAGCACTCGAGGAGAAGCTTGTGGGTGTGCCTGTGTGGTAGTACTAGATAGGCACAGCTCATCCATTCACGCGATGTTGCATGCGTCCAGTACAGAAAAACTTTCGATCGAGAAACACAGCCGATGGTCAGTGTTGCATGCACGAAACCCTGTAGTCTGTAGTCAATGGACTGCTATTAGCCCAAGCAAGTCTGCTCTAGATCACTAGCTAGATGGGATTATGGCACTGGTATCTACCTGCAAATTGAAGTGATGACGCTTTAACGCACAAGTTATCGCGCTAGCTAGCCTTGGAGAGAAACAAAGACTACGCATTGCTTGCTTGCTTGGTCCTGATGGCATGCTTTGCAAGTACTCCGTATATTTTTCGTGATGAAAGCGTCGATGAAGAACTATAAGTATTCGCCTCCACTTTCCGTCGATCGGTCCATGCCCAGATGCGGATCCATTGGTGTGGCATGCAATGCAATGCAAGCTGTGTGCGCGGCGCCGTCAGGTGTAGTGCCTGCAGAGTCCAGAGAGCAAAGCTGGCGGCGGCCTCTCCGATTCGATCCGCTTGCTCCTCCTCGCCCTTTCGGGCCCAGTTTAGTTGCTAAAATTTTTAGCAAAACGCTACGTTAGCGTTTTCGTTGTTATTTAGTAATTAGTGTCTAATTATGTCTAATTAGGCTTAAAAGATTCGTCTCGTGAATTTTGTCTAAACTGTATAATTAGTTTTATTTTTTATTTATATTTAATGCTTCATATATGCGTCTAAAAATTTAATGTGACGGAAAATCTTGAAAAAATTGACGTTTTGGAGGGCCAGTCCCTCGGTGCAAAATCCTGTACAGAAATGGATGGCAGATAGATCTTCCGTGCGGTGCGTGCATGGGATTGGACTTGGGGCCATGGGCCGCGGTATTTCAGAAGGAACCAGCTGCTAGACCTAGATAGCAGACGCCCCCGCTGTGGTATTGTAGCCCGGCCGATCATGCATCCTGCGTGTCGCTTGCGGCCGGTCACACACGTGACAAGGACGTAGCTGCACATGAATCATCATTATTACATGAATCATCATTATTGATCCTGATGTTACACAAGCGGAGGAGCTACTACCCTACTAGCAGAGGGCGTGTACGTGGTCGGCCACAAGGCCGGCCCATAACCAGGTAGGACAGACGATATAATGCACTGCGACGACTTCGCGAGTGCGAGGCGAGCCGTCGTGGCGGGCGCTGCAGCTGGACAAAACAAGTTCTCCCTCCGTTCCAAAAAAAAAAAAAAAACTGCATTTCAAATTATTCAACGTTTGATCAAAGTTATAAAATAGTATTGATAATACAAAATAAGTATTATTAAATTAGTTTTAGAACACTACTTCAAAGTAACACTTCACAGCCGGGTCCTAATACTCTATCACTATTGGAAGTGAACCTGCGAGGGCAAGTGGCAGCGATGGGGTTTTCCTATCAATGACGGTTGCCCTAACCCGACGCTGATGTTACAGTCCTTTACTACCAAATCACAGGTATTGGGAAGAATCAGAGGGAATGTAGACTGGAAATAGCAGGGATTAGAGAGGGATAACAAGAACAGTTACAGGGGAACTCGGACGGTAGGAGAATGAAAGTACTATTCTACCAGCAGTTTTGAACGTCATCCCTTGCTATTCTACTTGGAGTCCTCTTCAGCCCAGCTCACTTAGGTAGCCCGGTCTTGGCCCACATGGACACATGGCAGCCCATACCATAACAAGTGATACCAAACATCACGGTCGGTTCTTTTCCTAAATCGGCAATGATATGATATCCTCAAGATCACTCCCAACACTGTCGTCTTGCTTAGCAACCGACATTGATATCCCTATGATCATTGTTGACTTATGTTTGGACCCGCCACTGATTTGATTTCCCATATGCCTATTCATTAATTTATTTTATTATTTTTGTGTGATAATTTTTATTTCCTATGGTTACTAGACTGGATATTTAAAGCATCACATACATCACAAATCCATCAAGATTTATAATACAAATGTTAGGATAATGTATATGTTACATAAAAATGTATATACTACGATAGAAGTTTCGTCATTTCTGAATCTATACTACTCTTATCCTTGGCTTGATCAATGCTGAAAGATCCTCTTTTACTCAAGACCTCATCCATGGTGAAGGATGCTAGTTCGCCTTGTAATCCTTTGATCTCAAAGTCTAATAGCTTTTGGGTTTTTAAGTTCCTCACGCTGTCGTTGAAGCAAGATGATATCAACATACACAAGTGTTAGACAAAACAATAGTGTATTTTGTTGAATTAACTGATGTACATGAAATGAGAAACATAGACACCATTTTATTTCCTTCCATTGTGCTCTTGTTGAGGTACTGATGCATTGCCCACATCACGTAGAACCCGCATTTGTCGTCGGCTATCGACTGTTCGATCTAGGGGTATGTGTTTCCATATAATGAACCTCGAAATGGTTCTTCCTATGCTCGTCTATATTTTTCTTGACTCGGCGTGACATTATAAAGTGTGGAAGGCAGTGAAATTAGAATGTGCTATGTGATTAGAAAATTATATGTTACTAGCTTCACTTACTCAGTTCGCACGGTGAGTAGGTCATTGATCTGAGAAAGTTCCCTTCGATGTCTTCAAGTCCCACACCTCGACATGTGATTGTGCAAGTTTGATATCTACGAGGACGTATTGGAAACTGCACTCACAAGCTTCCAATGCAAATCAGGCCTAGTTAACAAATAACCTTAAAAAATAAGAAGCACCCAGCTAGGGCCTTACAAATCAGTCCTTAGATTTTTGCAATCTCTGCATTGGCAGTACGTGTAGCCTTGATCCCCTGGATTACATGTAGCATAAGCTTTGGAAGCGGTGATGAAGGTGTTGACTCCCATCAAGAACTACATGTCTGAAGATGTGAGACCATACATCCACTCTCGATCCATCTCTGCATAGAAAAAGGTGTCACATGTGTGCAATCACAAAAATTGAAAACTAGAGCCACGCCATCATGAACAAACACCATGGTAGCTAAAAAATTAATGGTTTGCTAGGTGTCACATGGATGTGTTAATCAAAATTAAAATTGACAACCCTCTTGAAGAAGAAATATTCTACTTCAAGACACAATAATGGTATGAATAATTATAGAATTTAAAACTAGTGCCATCAAGAACCACTATCTTTGTAAAAATTTAATGGTTTCTAGGTATCACATGAATGTATTCATCAAATTAAAATTTCTAGCCTTCTTAAAGAACAATTATTCTACTTCATGCACATAAAAATGGGGAGACTAATTATATGAAAATAAAAATTGGAGCCTTCATTGCTAGGTGTCACATGGATGTGTTCATCCAAATTAAAATTGGTAGCCCTGTTGAAAAAAACTTTACTCTACTCCATGCAAGAACTAAAGCATCACATACTGACAATCATCAAAATCACCATGTAATTTGCTAGAAATTAAATGGGTTCTTAGACACCAACCTTTTGGAAGATGGATTCACCACAATTTAAAATTCTTCCTCAAGATCTAATTAAAAAGTGCTCTCCAAAATGGAGAAATAAATAGCATGAGAATCAAGCAACATAAAAAATGAAAAGCTACAATTTCAGAGGAGTGGATGCTTGTTACTAACCTTAAAGCTAGAAGATCATGCCCATCCTTCAAAATCCAAGACCTTCTATGAGAATTTTGGTGAAAAATGACCGCAACAATGGAGGGTGAGGTGGGGAAAGGTGCATCCTTGGATAAGTTTGCTCGGGATGGGAGGGAGGAGAAATAACTAGCATAAGAATCAAGCAATCTAGCCATCAAAATAATTGAAAAGCTACAAATTCAAAGGAGTGGATTCTTGTTACTAACCTTAAAGCAAGATGCTCATGCCCGTCTTTCAAAATCCAAGACCTTCCATGAGTATTTTGGTGAAAAATGGCTGCAACAATGGAGGGAGAGGTGGGGGAAGGCGTCTCCTTAGATGAGTGTGCTCGGGATGGAGGGAGTGAAAGGTCCTTGTGTGGTTTTGGTAATCGAGTGACAACCTAGGTGGACTAATTGTGTTTATGTGAGATACACAGGTGATTAGTCCACAGGTACATGTGTGTGAGCAACATATGCCATGAAGGTGGAAATGGCTTGAAGATGTTGCAAAGCTCACACATGTGATGATGAAGGAGCTCATTGCAAATAAGACATGCCATTGAGTCATGTGATCAAGGTAGAGAAGATCAAGACATGACTTGGCTTGATGGACCGGTTGCAAGCGTGAAGGGCAAGTCGGAGGCTTTGGAGCGATGGACCGCGTGGCGGTGAAGCTTGAGCAAGACTTGGCACCGATTGACAAAGGCAACGGTGAAGAGCAAGTGAAGTCAAGATCGATGGACCAATATGATCACGTGATGATATGAAGTGGATCATATCATTGTTGATCGTGTTGGTGCATGTGTTGCATCGACATTGGAGAAGATGGAATGGAATGCGCAAGGCAAAGGTATAACCTAGGGCATTTTATTTCACCGGTCA